TGAGGGTCCTCTGTGGACAAGCTGCTGCATTCTGCCAGTTTGAGGGGGCTGTTCTTTCCATCTCACAGGGGCTGAGGAAATGAAGTGGAACCTGATACACACAAAACACTCCATAGTGTCCCCCTGCCCCAGATTCCTTCTGACAGTACTGAGAAAGTTTTGAAGCTGGTGTCTCTGAAGACAGGGTATCAAGAATAGGGAGGGGTGTCTGCTCTGGGGCCGGGTTTCTGTGTCCCTGGCTTCCCTGATCTTAAGTTCATACTCAAAGCAGGAAAGAAGAGAAGGAAAAGGAGCAGGAGGGGTAGGGAGGAGAGGGAGAAGAGAGGTGAGAAGAGGGTTACTCCTGACCCTACCCTTGCTGGACAGGATAATGGCCCTGAGATACTCAGAGCTCAGCCTCTCAAGACTACAAAGGCTGTCACCTTTCAAGACAAAGGGGACTGAAGGCATGATGAAGCTAAGAACCTGGAATAGAAGGTTGGCCTGGACTACCCATAAGCCCTTTAGTCAGAGAGAGTTGCCGGCATTGGGGGCAGGAGCTAAGGAATCTAGGCAGCCATCAGAGGATGGAAAAAACAAACGGCAACAACAAAAACAAAAAACAAACATAGGGTACACCCAGGCTTCATCGAGGGGGCCACTCTTTCCATCCCACAAGGTTGAGGTCATGAAGAACCTGACACACAGTAGTCACTCCATAAACGTTCCTCCAATCCCTCAAAGTGGGGGCAACGGCTTTCCCCTGCAGAACAGCCACCCAGCACCTTGCTTTCAGCCCAGCAAGACCTCCACCAGATTTCTAACCCCCCTGGTTATTCTGGTGACAACCTCAGTGGCCGCGAGGGTGGAGAACAATGCAAGGACCCAGGTAGACAGCATGGCCACTCCACAGACACAGATCATTTACTGAACACTGTCCATGAGTGGCCACCAAGTTATTTCATTTCAACTCTATCCAATGAGTCCCGGGGTCCAGAAAGCCTACTTCCCCATCTGTGGTCTCCCATATCCTTTCCTTAGTTTGATGATACCGGGATGGAGGGGTACTGTCAGCTCTGTGAGCATTCCTGTGGTCTCCTACCATAAGAGCAACAGGACATTCTGTGGCCAGCATGTGATTCCTACGACACTGGATAAAAGGACCACTGTAGGTGCCATGGTTATGACATCGGTCTGTCACCCACAAAAGTCTGGGGACTGAAGCTCTTGGGCCAGATGAAACTTCAGATACCCTCGAGAAGCTTCCAAAACTAAAAATTCTGCCTTAGCAGACTGACAGGGGCTCCTGTGAATGGGCTTACAGCCTTGGGAAGTAGGGCGTGTGTGCTTTCTGTGCTGTGGTTAACAGCAAAGGAGTCTGGGAAGAATCTTCATGTCCAGTGATGAGGGACTAGGTGGAGAAATGCACCCAGGGATCTCCCTTTAGCCATGACAATTGGTTTGTAGTGCTGTGTCATTTGATGTAGGCCAAGAGCTGAGATCAGTTACTTAGTGAACTACACATGAGGTGTAGTATAAAACAGACACTAGTGTGTTTGGTTCCCGTGGACGGTGTGTAAGCTGTTTCCAGCGGGTGCACTCTGTGGATTCAAAGGTAATAAATAGATGGTTTTCTTTTGGAGGGAGGATCCAAAATAATCTAGGTTTACCACAGAACACTCACAAACACACACACACACACACACACACACACACACACCTAGGAAAAGGAACAATGAGCCTTCAGTTTGGCTGCCTACAGTCGTCCCGAGCCACAGCATGAAGGAGTACAAGGCACAGCCTTGACTCTGTGGCTTGGGACCATCAGCTACCACACGGGCCCAGTATTCAGCCAGCACCTGAGTTCAGAAGGGCCCTACATTCTGTTAAATCCACCACTGTCACCATCTTGAAATTTTGAACACGCTTCCTTGCTCCACTGAGGCGTCACAGTACACAGAGGCTGAGACGAAGTACACAGGGCTCCACACAGCCAGACCTCGATGTCCCTTCTCTGCATGTGGCTCCCAGATTTGCTGCTCTACCACTTCATGACCCCCCCTTTTTTTCTTATTTTTCATCCAGATTTTTCCAAAATTGGGAATCCAACTCCACAAAACTACAGTAGATAAGTGTTGTCCCCAGGGAAAGAGACTTTCTTGTTAGGAGATAAGTGGGGGTCACCAACACAGACCTGGCATTCCCAAATGGAATGCTGGCAAAAATGGGAAACGAGGCTCAGGTTTTTAAATAATAAATAATAGAGAGGGAAATGAGTCTATGTTCTCAGGACCTTCTTAGGAGTGCTTCTCCTGCCCCTTATCTTTGTTCCCCCTCAAGTACTGTTGAAGGGTACCTGGAAGTTTTCCTTCAATAGCAATACAACAGCATCCACAGAGAAGTAGAGAGTTGCCTGTCTCTGCAGGCATTCAACAGACCATAGGGCCTGTGACCTGGGCACTGTCCAGAAAAGAGATACTCTGGTTGGGGCGTGGGTGTAGAGACCCTTATCTTGAGGCTGGTACTACTCAGAACAGCTTCTCCTCTGCCTCTCAGTCCCCTCAGGGAGGGGCTCAGTAGAAGGAGACAAGAGAAGGAAAAAACCACCAAAAAAGTGAGAGGAAAGGCATCCGATGCAGGAGAGAACTTTGTGGGCAGCCTCAAAGACAGATGACCCAAGAGAGGAGACAGGAGCCTGGGCTCTTGATCACCCATAGGGTATCAGGGGCTCTGATTTCTGAGTGACTGGTGGGTGCTTGCAGGGAACTTAGCAAGAAGATGCAAATATCATCTTGACCCTCTCAGAGAGCATGAGTCCTAACTCTTTAACCAGTGAGGATATGGATGCCCATGCGAGTGTTATTCCACTAGGATGGCGGTAGTGCTGGGATACAAAGCTGACCCTGCCAGGGTGACAGGACACAAATGCCCAGGCAGTCAACACCATGTCTCTGACGGCCTGGGATATAAACAAAGTTCAAATTCAGACCTGCTTCCTGCATCCTGTCTCCCTTGTGACATCTGAGCATCGTGGGCACTGACTGAGCAGAGCTATGGGGTCAAGATAGGTTTGGAATCTTTTCTTCAAAAAAAAAAAAGAGAGAGAGAGAAAGAAGAAAAGAAGTGTGTGTGTGTGTGTGTGTGTGTGTGTGTGTGTGTGTGTGCAATCATGTGTGTGTATCAGTGGTGTGTGTGGTAAGTGCCTGTGGAGTCCACAAGAGGTCCATCAGATCCCCTAGAGCTGGAATTACAGGTGGTTGTGAGCTACCAAAAGTGGATGCTAGGAACCAAACACTGGAACCCTTCCTCTCAAGAGCAGCACGCTCTCTTTCTGCTTGTTTCTGTGTTTTGAGACAGAGACTCCCTACATAGCCCTGGCTGTTCTAGAACTCACTATGTACACAAAGTTGGCCTTGAATTCACAGAGAGCCACCTACCTCTGCCTCCTGAGCCCTAGGATTAAAGCTATATTGCCACTATGCCCAGCTAGGAAGCTAACCATTGAGCAATCTCTCCAGTGCCGGGAATCTTGTTTAGAGGGAGATTTTTAGCTTTGGAATCTCACACAGTCAAATCCAGCCTGAGAGGGCAACTCAACTTCTCCATGAAGTATAGTGAATGAGCACAAACCCGCCTCCCCGATCTAGGTGGCTTCCTTCTCAAGGCTCTGACTAAGTTGCCAAGACACCAGAAAGCCTGCTTTTTAACACGAGTATCTTCACATGAACGTACAAGAGCCCAAGCTGGAAGATGACATTTCCTTGTCCTGTAATACTTTTTCTCTTTCTTTCTTTCTTTCTTTCTTTCTTTCTTTCTTTCTTTCTTTCTTTCTTTCATTTGTTTTTCAAGACAGGGTTTCTCTGTGTAGCCCTGGCTGTCCTGGAGCTCACAGAGATCTACCTGTTTCTGCCTTCTGAGTGCTGGGGTTAAAGGCAATATGCCACCACTGCCTGGCCATGGAATACTTTCAATTTTATGAAGATCTGGCATTCTTCTCTCCAGACTCTTGTTTGAGAACCTGCTAGGGGGAGCAGGGTATTGAGGACAGGTAGCTTACTGGGACTAAGGGTGCCAGATCTCTAGTTCATACCTGGGTTTCCCCTACCCCCAAACTCCCTACAGGTTCTGTGGTCCCAGGTGCCCAAGGGACAACTGTGGGTTAGGGCTGACCTCTAGACAGCTGGGGACTTGACCAACATCGGCCAAGTAGTAGTTAGCCAATAATCTCTGCAATGTCTGGGGTGCCTGGTTATAGTCTTGCTGGCCCAGGGCAGATCTCTGGGAGCTTGCCACTGTCTGTAGATTGGGGTGTAGAGTTCAACCCCACGGGGACTCCTCATGCACACATACCAGGTCATTCTTCAGGCAAGCACTTATTTCAGGTAAAGGGGAATGGTGCTGAGAAGTGGGGTCCACAAGTGGTCTCAGAGGCTGAACCTAGAGACCAGGCTCTCCAGGGTCCTGATGTGTTTCTCCCCCCTTAGACCCTCTGTCCACAGCTGCCTGTGTCTCTAGCACTGGCTAGGCCCACTTACACCCTGGCTGACCTCAGGTAGCCTTACAGTGACTACCTTTCTACTTTTCAGGCTACAGGAAAATAGCTCAGGTCTTTTCGCGGGTGGGGGTGGGGGGCGGGCATCCAAAACAATGTCCACCACCATTCTGGCAGTGAAGCCCCAATTGACTCTGCTGCCTCTGGCTAGCCCAGTCCAGGAAGGCTAACTCCTCCCCCTGTACCCCAAAGGGGGTCATGTGCAACAAAAACACCCAGCAGAGAGCCTAAGTGCATGATCTTTTTTTTCCCTTTAAGAGCTCTGGCTGCAGGAAGGAAACTGTCTCAGAGGAGCATTCCCGGCCTAACTCTGCAGCCTTCCTTTGTGCGAGGCTGGACTGCACAGGCTAGAACCCAGAATGCACCCCAGGGCGGCCCCAACGCGTGCCCCTGGCTGTTCACTCCAGCTTCAGCCGCTAAACCCACCCCAGACCGCGGCTTAGGCCGAGCAGAGGGCGGAGCGCTTTACCAGGTCAACCGGAGCTGGGGCGATGCAGGCGGGAGGAGGAGCACGGGGTCAAGTTCATGGCTACCGCCAGGTCTGTCTGGAGGTCCCTAGAAGTAGGCTTTGCTGTAATCCTGGTCATGACCTCGCGCAGCTCCGGGTACTGATGCCCCTCTCTCTGGCCTCGCCGCTCCAACTTCGTGCACAGTCGCTGAACTCGAAGTTTCCGGGCTTCGCAGAGGCTGGGCTGGGTTTCAGGAGCGACGTCTGAGCTTGGCAACAAAGACAGAAAGCAGCCTGGCCGGGAGACAGGAGAAAGAATGACGGCCGCGAGGACAGGCGCCGCTCAGAAAGCCTTAGAACTTGAAATGATACCCGAGAGCCTTTTTGTTTCGTTTTGTCTTTTTTCCCTAAGGGGAAAATAAGAAGGGCCCAGACCCCAATCTGGACGTGGATGAGGGTGGGGTAAGGAAGGCTACGTTCTTTTCTTCCACAAAAGTGAGTGGTAGTGGCTGGTTGGCACCTCTCTCTGTTAAGTGAGCCACTTCATTTCAGTTCTTTGTAACAGAGTCAAGTTTACACAGGTCACAGGGAAGAGCTTAGTGTTGGAGCCTGGTTACCTACCTGGCATGGGGCTAGGGACACAGTGGGTGGAGCCAGGGGCTAGCTAAGAAAGCATGGCACCTATTCTGAGAGCCCAGAGACACTTTGGCCTCCGTGGGTTTACGGTGTGTTCCCAGCATCCCCATGGGCTTTGTGTGTGGAGGTGGGGATGAGGGATTAGTTGCCTATCAGTGAAGATGGAAATCCTGTCCTAAGAGTGCAGAATGACAAGTCCCACTGTTTTCGAAGGAAAACAGTGTATCCACAAGCCCCGAGACAGTCAGCCGCAGTGTCTCCACTGCATAGCAGGGGGAATTCCATGACGGCAGGGTGGTCACTTCAAGAGAATTCAGTCTAAGTCACACTCTTTTCAAGGGGGAAGCCTGCTTTTTCTGCTGGTGACCTTGCCAGGAACCCCATTTGATATTTTCATTTCCTTTTTTTTCCCTTATTTTTTATTCATAACCATAAACTTAACTTTGCAAGGGGACTGTTAAGACTCAGAGAGGAATGAGGAAAATATAGACCCCAGAGAATTTGGTAGGAGGAGAGGCAATGGGGTAGACCTGGTGGGGCATCTTCTGAGTAACAGAGGGAATGGCCTGGTGGGTAAGATGCCTGAAAGTCAGAAGAATCAGAGCTGTCCACAGTTGGCAATGGTGACCCTCTTGCTGGTCCTGCTGGTCCTGGACACGATGCTGCTCTAATGGCTTCTGTGATGTTCGTGCCTTCTTTCAGCTTCCCAGAGCCCACATGTTTGCTGTCCAGCCACTCAGGCCTTGCAGTGCAGATGAGGAACTGAGAACTGTTTGTGTATTGCTCAGTGCTTGCCATGGACAAGATGTCAGGACCTGAATGCTTCAGGACGAAGTTCTCACCTTCCAATCTCTCCCGGCAGATGGACTCGCTGCCAGCGCCATTATGGTGTGCAAAGTTGCCACCCTGGCACGTGAACCCTGAAATAACGCTATGAAAGGAGGAGCTCTTACAGCCCACGTTTTCTCTCCGGTGCTCAGATCTGAACGTTTTTTGCTGTCTTTGGAACCTTGTCAGCAAAGGCTCACCATCAGTCCTGATGTGGGATTGACCATAGCCATGGCAAGCGGCAACAGGGACATCGGTGTCTGCAAGCTCACTATGTATTTTTTCAATTCATCCAAAATGTTGTCTTCCCAGAGCATGGCTTCCTTTGCCTCTTGCACTCTGGGACTTTGGAGCCCAGTTTGTCCCAAAGGAGCTGGAGGTGGGGTTCACACCTGTAACCTAGTGCTCCAGAATCAATGGTAGAAAAATTGTAAATTCGAGGTACTCTGGGCTGCATAGTGAGAAACTGTGTCAAAACCAAACTGAGCTGAAGGAATAACTGGGTGAAAGCTGGTACTGTTCTTCTGGAGGACCTGTGTTTTCACACCAGGCAGCTCACAACTGCCTATAGCTCCAGCTCCAGAGAATCTGACATCTGATCTCATCAAGCACCTGAGTGTACACACACACACACTTAGAAATGAACCTCCAGAGTGGGGTATGATATCACACACCTTTAATCCCAGCACTGAGGAGGCAGAAACAGTTCTATCTCTGATTTTGAAGACAGCCTGGTCTATACAGCAAGTTTCAGCCTAGCCATGGCTTCTAAGATAAAAAATCTTGAGGCTGGAGTGATGGCTCAGTGGTTGAGAGCATTGGCTGCTGTTCTTCCAGAGGACCTGGGTTTGATTCCCAGCACCCACATGGGGACTAACAACTGTCTGCAACTACAGTTCCAGGGAGATCCAACACACGATTCTGGTCTCCAAGGGCACTGTACACACATGGTACACAGACATACATAAAAAATTAAAATATATCTTTAAAAACTTCTTCAAAAATAAACAAAGGAAGGAAGAGCAAACATGTAAGAGGGAAGAAGAAATGATGATGATGATGATGATAAGGATGATGATGATAAAAGCCAGACAGTGGTGGCGCACGCCTTTAATCCCAGCACTTGGGAGGCAGAGGCAGGCGGATTTCTGAGTTTGAGGCCAGCCTGGTCTACAGAGTGAGTTCCAGGACAGCCAGGGCTACACAAAGAAACCTTGTCTCAAAAAAACAAAACAAAACAACAATAATAATAATAATATGATGCCTGGGAATATGCTCAATTAGTACAGTATTTGGTTAGTGTGCTTGAAGCCCCTGGGTTTGGTCCCCAGCACTGCATCAAACAGCAGTAGTGGCCACACCTATAATCCCATCACTCGGGAGGTAGAAACAGGACAGTCAGAAGTCATTCTTGGTTACATAATCTTTCCAAGGCTAGACTGGGTTATATAAGAACCTGTCCAGAAAAAAAAGGTAGGGTTGGGGAAAGACCACAAAGATGGAAAATAATTACTTACCCAGGGCTGGCTGCGCGGGTGTGCGGCATATTTAGTTCGACAGGGCCATGTGTACAAAAGGAACCCATACTTGTCAGCTGTCACCTGCCCCGGAATCTGAATCATTTTGAGCCCAGAGATGGCTTTTTTTATCTTGTTCTGGTCTCTGAGAACTAAGTAACCAGTCCTGACTGGCTGAAGGCTCACAATGCCACAACGTACGTGCCTCTCATTGGTGTTTCTGCTACTGAGTTCTGTCTACAGAAATGATTTCAAATCCTGGGTAGATGAGGAAAAAAGAAAAACATTTCAGTGCTAATTTATTCTGTTATCAGAGGATGTGTGTCTTAAAGGGGGAGGGGCTGTGGTGACACTGGTGGGACTATCAGGACTGAAGCCATCCGGGTCATTCCTTGCTCTCCTGTGTGGATGCTGTGCGTTATCTCAGGGGCTCCGGTTCCTTTGTGGGGGTGATGAGAGTTTCTGCCTGCAGGTATTCTTAGGAACCAGTGGGGGGGGGGGCCATGGTGTCAGTAGCAGTATGCAATAGGCACTCCATAAGTAACCAACACCCTTTACCCTCGTGATTACATGACTTGACAGTGGGACCCAGGGTCAATTTCATTTTTTATTTTTAACATATGGTCTCACTACGTGACCCAGGCTAGCCTAGATCATGTGATTCTCCTGACTCAGCCTGAGCACTGGGATTATAGACACGTGCCCCTATGCCCTGCTTCATTATTTTCAGTGAATGTGTATTCACCTCCTCTTCCTGTTGCTCCTTCTCTTCCCCCAACCCCCACTAGCTGCCCAGACAGAGTCTGGCTAGACACCTCTGGCTAGCCTGCGACTCTCCATGTAAATCATTCTGGCCTCAGACGCAGCATTCTTTCAGCCTTGGCCTCCCATGTGCTAAGACTACAAGCATAAGCCAACACTCCCAGACATCCCTTGTCTGTCTGGGGCCTCCAGAGAGCTGAGCTGGTGAAGGTGCTTGCTGCCATTTGAAGCCTGAGGCTCAGAGCTTGATCCCTGGAACCTACAGGGTACAGGGAGAAATCAGACTCCTACAAATTGTCCTCTGACCTCCCGCACACAGGATGTGACATGCACTTGCCTACACACATATGCATACTTGTAATAAATAAGTTAATTAATTAATTAAAACACACACCGATGAGAGACTAACTCGGTGGGTTTGTTTGCCATACAAGCATGTGGAACCGAGTTCAAATCCCCAACATAAAAGTATTTGGAATCCCGTCGCCCCTATGGGGAATGAGAAGGAGGGAGGAAGGGAGGGAGGGAAGGAGGGAGGAGAAGGGAGGAAGGGTTGGATATATATAGAGAGAGACAGAGACAGAGAGAGACAGAGAGAGTGTGTAAGCAAAACATAGTGGGACCTCACTGGAGACTCCAAGCAGAGCCAATGACCTACCTATACCCTTCAGTGATACCCAGCTGAGCATACAGTGAGCTGTCTTCACACTAGGCATCAACCTGGCCTGTGTGGCCGGCTGTTCTCCAGGACTAGACACCATGACATTTGCTGCTGACTAAAGTCTTCATCACACTGCGTCCTTAACCTTCTGTGCTTCGGCTTTCCTATTTGAGACTTGGTTTTTAAAAAACATATTTTTAACAGTTTCAGGCTCTTATTTATACCCACAGGCTGCTAACAGAATCTGCTCCAACAATCCAGGAGGGGGAAGAAACCAGAGCCACCCAGTGTCTCTCCCAGCAGCCTTGTGAGGCCAGCAGGTAGGAGAGAGGGGTGGTGAACACTGGGCCCCAGCAGCTTTCAATAAAGGTAGAGTCCTGTTCGGAGAGAAGCTCACAGTCAACTTCCAGGCCTAGCTACAGAGCCCACAAGAATCCAGACCCTTGCTGGGTGGTGGTGGCACATGCCTTTAATCCCAGCACTTGGGAGGCAGAGGCAGGCAGATTTCTGAGTTTGAGGCCAGCCTGGTCTACAGAGTGAGTTCCAGGACAGCCAGGGCTACACAGAGAAACCCTGTCTCAAAAAACAAACAAACAAACAAACAAAAAAACAAAAAACAAAAAAAAACTGGGTCCAAGTTTGGTTTCGCTCCTGAATTAATTAGCTCTAAGTTACAGGTCTGTCTGACACAGCTTCCTTGTATCTTTAAAGATTTTCTTGGACTGGAGAGATAGCTCAGTGGTTAAGAGCACTGCCTGCACTTCCCGAGGTCCTGAGTT